CCCCCCCCCCCCCCCCCCCCCCCCCCCCCCCCCCCCCCCCCCCGGGTCGTCTTAACTGGTCATTCTACACTTGGTACTCTCCTTTCTTCTACTTAATAACGTTATTTGTGAACTATTCTTTGGTGTTCGATGTGATACTGCTATTTGTGTTTCTAAAGTTAGAATATCATCAGCTATTTGTGAAATATTCAATACATTTCCCGTTAAATTAATTAATTTTAAAATTTGTTTAATATACACGAGATATTTTTCTCTTATATTTTTTGATACAGGATCATTTCGAAAATAATAATCACGTTCAGGTAGATCGATACCGATCTGTTGAAAATTTGCTATATTAACATGTGAATTTTTATCATCAGGTCCAACATAAAAATTAAATAAATAACCCATATTATAATTTTTATACATATCAATTAGAAAATGAATTAATCCCGTATAATTTGAAATTGTATCAATTTTATTTAAAATATTTTGAATTGGTAAATATCCTAAATTATTTATACGTTCTATATCCATACCAGCTATATACATATCGGCTATTTTTTGCTCAAGACTTCCATTTACATAAGATTTTTTTTCTAATTTTAAATTGTCTAAAATTAATTTTAATTTTTTTTGATTATTATTGTTTAATATGGTAAATACGCCCCAACTTGTTTCAGATGGTGGAATTTGTGTTTTATTTAACCAGAGACCATTAGCATAGAGAAAAAAATTTTTAGCCGGACTTATTGTCAAATCCATATCATTTTTATTTAAAAATACTGTTCGATTTAAATCAGAACATAGACAAATTATTATACATAATAATAAATAAATAAAAAATGTCCACATATTATTTTACTAATTTAATTAAGTTCCAACTACAGTAGTACCTATAATAATCCAATTGATAATAATAAACTAGTAAAGTCACTCCATTGGGAATTTATGCGAAAAAACTTCTTTTTTTTTTAAAATAATGATATAAATAATACAATAGAAAACTATTCATAAACAAAAGGTTTACATAAAAATATCTAAAGCATTTTATTCTATTATAATCAACAATGAGTCAAGTTCTCTTTTACACAAACTATATCAAAGTTATATCATCATTTTTTTATTTTAGAGATTATTATAATCAATAGATATATTCTATTGATGATGACCGATGAATTGACAAATAGAGATCCTGGCTACTTTATATTGTCCTAGAAAATTTATTTTTCTTTTCTTTTTTTTTTTGTTGTTGTTCTATATAATTTTTTCATTATATACATTTGTTTCTGTCATTCGTATATATCTATCTTCATCTAGTAAATTTATAAAACAAATCGTTTCCGTCAAAACTTATTGTTTCAAAGATTTTGATTTCTTCTTCTTCTTTTTTGAAAAATCTACATATTATTTTTATTTTTCTTCTCTTGTTTTATTCATTTAGCTAGTTTGTAGTTCCAGTTGTCAGATTTATTTTAAATTAGAAGAATATATATATTAACTAATAGAGAAAGAAGAAAGAAGAAAAAAAAAAAGAAATGATTTGACATAATCTTTTTTCTTGAAAAATTAGATTAGAGATATATAGGCATGATTTTGAAGTAGAGAAGAATAAAAAAATACATATTAAAACTTATCGGAAAAAAAAAGAAAAATAACTCGAATAAGAAATTGAAAAAAAAAAATACAGAAAGAGAGAAAAACGTTAATCAATATATGAGATGACATGTCAGTTTGAACGTATTTTTGAACAGGCACTCCTACAATGAATTTGACAAAGACTATTTTTAGAGATTTATTGCTCATTGTAATATTTTTTAGTCTTATAATAATCACTTTTCTCATAATGAGAAAAGGGAAATAAGGAAGTCATCCGTTACAAATTTGTGACAATAAATTCATTTTCTATTATTTATGCTCTTCTTCACAAATCGTGTTTTTTTGCTTGTTTGAAATGTAGATCTATCTTGTTCATGCGATAAAGAAAAAAACAAAAATTTCCTGTCTTTTCATTTAATTTATGTAATTTGACAACATATGGATATTACTTCTACATTGCGATTACTTTTTTTTTTTTCATACTCTTATAAATATATGAGAAGAAAAAAATATATGAATACACAACATCTTATCTCGTCAATTTCTACGATATTATAGTATAGAGAGTTAAAATGTACAATAGAATTTTGACCTTTTAAAATGCTCTCGTCTTATGATATTTCCGAAAGAGTGGCGAGAATAAAATAAGAGATCTTTTGGGGATGGAAAGAAATATAAACGAAAATATTAATTTTTTAATTATGAATAAAATATATCACATAATATTGATGGAGAAAAAGGTCGATACATTTATATCAACCATATTCTAATCCTATAAAATGTAACCATTGATTACGATTTTGACTTTATAATTTAGTTGGTAGAATGGAAAGGGCAACTACAAAAGAAGTTTTTCAAGATTAGTGATTTTATGGATTAGTCTTTTCGAATGGAAAGAGATTTTTTTTTTTTTTTTTTAATACAATGTGTTGTTAAGAGTAAAAAAGACAAAAAAATAAAAATTTGTCTTTTCTCTATCGATAGTCTCTAATAATACAATTTGATCAGAAGATCTTAAAAGAGCCTTAAAAGAATAAAATAAAAAAGTGCTGGAGTGTTGGAGTATGTGAGAGCTTGTCATGTCAGAAATTTGAACGAAAGAAAGAATGAGAGAGAAAAAAAAGAAAAGAGAAAAATTTATTCGTTCAACTGCAATCAAAACAAAAAAAAAAAAAAAACTAGTGCTGTGGAATGGATACTTTTATATTAAAGAAAAACATCCAACGATGATGTTTATCGTAATTCAATACACACAAAAGAATCTATCTTTAAGAAAATAAGAACATTTTTTCAATGAATCGATCATGTTGATATATTTTTCTATTGTCAAATAAAAGAAAAAAAAAAAGAAAAACAACAAAATGAGAAGTTATTCCTGGAAACTTTAGATGTGTTTGAGTATTATTTTTTAAAAAAACTTCTTAACTACATCGGCATTTAGTTCAAAATATTGATGAGTGGATGAATGAAAATAGGCAAAATTAAATGATGACTTACATCTGAACGTTGAGTAAGAGTGCTCTCAAAATCTGTTGACTAATATAAATCGATTACAACGGATTATTCATCGGAATGGATATATGTAAAATTATTGTACATTATAATGAGCTTTATAGCTCAAATCAATGCCATTTTTTATTTACTATTTTTTTCAATTCATATTTGTAACGGTATGTATTTGAAGGTTTCTTTATTTGACGAGAGAAGGACAGATTTATTTTTGTCAAAATTAGAGAAAAAAATACTGGTCAAGGTTTAGTTTGACAGGAGAGAAGCGATGTTTGTTTATATATGATAAATTATCTTTTTGTATTGTACATGATGCCCTATATCAAATGAACTTAAAAAACAGGTGATATTTTCTAAATGAAAAGAATTGAATTGGAATATTAATAATTTAATCTGAAATGAAAGGATTGATTAAATATAATGATTTATTGAAAATACGTTAAAAAACACAACGATATTGTAGTTAGAAAAGTTAAATGAATGATATAATTATACTGTTAAAACTTTAGGTTTTAATGTTTGTGACAAAGACTATTATCAAAAAACAACATGTGTGGATAAACTTGCCTATTATAAGTGTGAATGTAAAGCGGGACAATTTTGGAATGGTGAACGTTGTGTTGGTTCGTTTCTTTTTTTATCATTTAATTATAATAATTTTTGAAAGATTTTTTTATTTCAGTTGATGCTGTAGATTCTCGTCTTGTTTTTGACGATATTAATAAATCAAAATATCCGTCTTATATTGCTCTGTATTCAAAAAAATTTCCAAGCGGAGTTGAGCATATAACAATAGCATTTTGGCTTAAAATCCATCAAAAAAGCATGAGACCAATCAAACAAACGATATTCTTCTTTAAAATAGGTTTGTTTTTCTTATACGAAACAAAGCAATTGAAAATCGAATAAAAATCTATTATTATTTTCTATAACTTTAGATGATGACTCGTATCCAAACATACTAACAACAATTACCGAAGAGAATTATTTAAATATTGAATTATTGAACTATAATTATATCGTATTATTATCATTAGAATCAAATAGTTGGCATCATATTTGTATTGTGAACAATTTTTATACGGGCATGTATGAATTTATGTTTACCAGATTCTTTAACTTCTTTTTTGTTCAACTATAGGTGATATTAATATCTATTTTAATTCAACTTTTTTTCCTCATAAAAATATTAATTCAACATATGTGAAGAATAAAGCAGTTGTAAATATGAAATTATTGAATATTAATGGTGATATTTTTGTTGGACAATATGTGTTGACTAGTGGCTATGATCCAGAATTTGAACCATCAATGGCATTTCAAGGTTTACTTATAATAGTTCTATAATAACATTTACCATAAAATCTAATACAAACATTTTTATTAGGTGAATTAACATTTTTTAACATATGGACAAGTTATTTTTCATCATCGGAAGTGGAAAAAGCGTACAGAGATTGTTATTTTAAATATTGTGGTAATTTTATAACGTGGGTAGACTTTTTCAAAGATATTAAAGGAAGAGTGCAAATTGAATGGCCATCTGGTATTAGAAATCTTATCAGTAAGTTAAAAGTTTTATTAATGTAATATACTATTAAAGAGTATACTTTTTTGAATAGACGATTGTCCCGATCAAATATGGTTGAATCAGGCATGTGGAAATTATTGTAGAACAATTGAAGGTAAAAATATGATTTCTTGTAAGTAAAATTATATTTGAAATGAATTTTATTATCATAGGTCCCCATTGTAAAAATGAAACTGATAAAAGTGTGATATGGAATAAAGCCAAAGCTGGTGAAACGATAAGTCAACAATGTCCAGGAGGAGAAACAAATAGTAAAAACAAAAGTGATTTACACAATATGTTAATAACGTTATTATCTATGTTTTTAAGGTACAATAAATAGAACATGCCACAAAATGGAAACAATAGGTATATGGGATAAAGTAGAATATTCTTCTTGTGCATCGTCATTCATCATGGATGTTTATGAACAGGTATAGATTCTAATCAATATTTTGTCCTTATATAACTTTTCTTAGTTTTTCAGCTATCGCCAAGTAGAGATCTTGAACAAAATCCGAAATTTCAAAATATATTGGAGAAAAGTCGCTATTTTGCAGAGATAACTGAATTCAATTTGACAACAATAAATTTTCATAGTTCAGTTGATTTATCATTACTTGTTGAACGTGCTGAACATTTAACCAATTCATTGGTGAGTTAATCCAATTCATTTTTCATTTTTTTAACACTATAAGCATGTTATGAAGGAAAAAAATGGTCAAATTAATAATATGTATATTTTAGTCTAGTCAATTTTCAAATTATGTTGAATGGTATGCATCATCCTATGAAAAATTGTTTAGAACCGACATTGAAAAAACATTAGAAATTCATCAGGTAAAGTTTCTATCTTGTACTTCAATTTATACTTTTATTCATAATCATTACTTTTAGCATCTAATTAACACAATATCAAACATACTAGATGAGAAATATAAAACTCTTTGGAATGAAACTTATCCATTAGGAAATGATTTTATTCGTATTCTAACATCATTACAACATCTCACATCAATTGTTATTCAAATGATTATTAATAATAAAACAATATCGAATCCATTATCATCTAGTTATTCTAGTCCCA